CACTACATAGGACATTGTATTTTTATTTCTTCTTAGCCTCTTCCAAAATATACCACAAGCTGTGGTGGACATTACGTTGGAAGAAATCGAAAGTGATGACGCAGGAATATTGGCAGCTGAAGGCTTTTGAAAAGTTCCGCAGTATGTGCACTTTCCTTAGTCTTAAAACTCATTAAATGGTCTTAAATGCAACCCTTTGCCTCTACTTGAAGTTAGACTTTAAGAGATATTTCTTTTACTGTGTGAAGAGATTGGAAAATGTTCTTGTTTTTCGCGATGAGCCATTGTCTCTGTATTTGGTGAAGGTATTTGCTTTCTCTTTTCTGTTGTGATTGTTCGAGTTGAGATAAATTTTACCCTTAAATGAAAAAGATTTCGCTCTAATAAGAAAAAAGAATGATTTGTTTATTTTTATAATCGGAGAAAGAGAGCCAGCTGTGTTCAGGAGTACAATAAACCCAATCGTTGCTCTACGAACTCAAGAATCTTTTCAAAGTCAGTTCAACCAGTCAATACAACGTTAATGGGCAAATCTTTGGTGTTACTGCCAGCTAATTAGAAACGGAAAAGTTATGCTCTTTAAGAGCATGTCAGTCTCATAGTGCTGATTCAGTAAGAGAAAAGTCCGTTTCAGAGTCAGGTTATACTGTTTATCTAATGTTTGATCTTTAAGGAGATCAGTGCATCGAGCAAACAATATTTCCCTTTTTTTCTCTTTAAATCAATTAGTAGACCATTAAAGAACGGCTCACACGATTAGTTTTACTCACATCTCAGAGAAAGCAAAAGCACAAATTTGCGCGTGAGTTTTTGGGGATTGGAACGTCATTAACAACCTTTGACATATATAACCATTTTGAGTGTGCTGGTCAGCAGCTTCTGTTCATTTACACCTGTTAAATGTAAGCCACTGTGTCTTCTGTCGCACTTTTTTTCTTGTGCGGAATCAGAGTAGGCAATCCCTTGTAGAGAAGATGGGCCCATCTTCCCTGCTAAGATGACCAATCAGAATACAGAATTCGCTTCAT